TTAAATGTGGGTGTGTTTTTCTTCTCTGTGTGTTTTTTTTTCTGATGTGATTGAAGAGAGTGGAATCCTTGCCTCTCTGCTTTGAAATGTAAGAAGTCATTTTTTTTGCCTATATATATATATATATATATATAAGAAAAACGGAGCTCTACAATTTTTGGATCCAGTCTGGTGTTTTTGCCTCTTTTGGTGTGTTTTCTGGGCCTCATTGGCCATCTTAAGTCCACAAGGTTACTGCATCTGTAGTGCAAACCTTACACATACATTTAATCTACTGTACATTTTAACATACTTTTTTTTCTTTTTTTGTCCAGTGTTTTATTGTCATTATATTGTCACAGGTACAGAGTAACGAAATGAGCTCTCTGCATTTAACCCATCCCCTTGGGCAGCAGTGGGCTGGCATTGTAAGGCGTCCAGAAAACAGTGTGGGGTTAATGGTCTTTGCTCAGGGAGCCAGAGTGAAGGCTGTGGGAGTGGGGCTTGAACTCAAGACCTCAGGATTCCAAGCACAACACCCTAACCACTAGGCCACCATTCCCCAAAGCAGGCATTAGTTTGAAGGGTCTTGCCTAAGTACCCACACTGGCAGCTCATTCCTCCCAGCTGGGATAATGACTGAGGACCCTGGAGTTTGACATGTTCCAAGCATGTTTTGTAAATTTTCTAAAATTTTGTGAAGTTTGCTTGGACTTCTTGGGGAAAATGACAGATACTTTCACACGTAAATAATCCTTGCTGCTGCAGAATGATGCACTTCAAACCATTTTATATCCTCTCAGATTGATCAAGTTGGACAATTGCTTCACTGTGGTCCCTGCTGATGTTTTTCATCGTTGGCTGTATCTAAATACTCACACACACTCCACACACATGAATGCTGCAGGGAAAATTCCAATACTCCTGGTCCTAAAGATGCTTTTGCAGCTTTTGATTAAAAATCAGAGTCTGCTTTTCGTTTACTTCTGATTAAACTAAGGGTTAACTTTGTTTATGAATTTGGACCAGATTAGATTTTGTCCAGATTTGTTACCAAATAGACCTGCTTTTATTTTTAAAAGACACTGAGATGACGTTTTTGTGAATAGGGACTTTAGAAATAAACTAAATTAAAGGGATTTTGATTTGATGTTTTCCCCCTTATGACAGTAGGACAGATCACATACTTGTTGGATTCAGAGAATAATGTAGAAAATGTAAAAAGGTAATTTAGTAACAGTTTTCCCTCAAAAGATAATAGGTAATCACACAAGCCAAAACTTCACCTTTGATGTATTTGGTTTGTGTTTAGAAATATTCTACAGCAGGAGTCTTCAACATCTTCAAGGCCAAGGACCCCCAAACTGATGGAGAGATGGAGAGGGGACCCCCTAATTACATATATTGAATGAAACTGTTATATCAAACTGATCCTATAGTCACTCTGTTACAGACGGAGTAATGTAAAGAAAGTAATTTCTCCCTGGGATTAATAAAGTATTTCTGATTCAGATTCCTGGTTGATGGGACAGGTGTTGTGAATGAAAAGGTGCCCAGGATGAAAGAGCTCCTGTGTGTCGCTGATCGTGTGCATTGATGACTGAAAGACATCTTCTGCCTCCATTTATCTGTTTACTACAGTGTGTTGAATTCATGTTAATGTTGATTTAAAGACATTTCTATTAGTGGAAAAAATTGCAGGGGGGAATATAAAAACAGTCTAATCAACCAAAACTTTTGCGACCCCCATGCAGTACCTCCGTGGACCCCCTAGGGGTCGTGGACCCCCTGTTGAAGACCTCCATTCTACAGGTTCCTTTCCTGGTGAGTGTTAAAATACTAATGCAGCTTTTAGTCATCACATTGACCGAGCAGTGAGCACAATGTGACCAGCAGCTGTGTTCTTGTGGCTGGAGCTCATTCAAACCAATCAGGAGGATCTTAAAGAGGAATGGATTCCCTGAGGCAGATGCTGGATTGTTTTCACTCTCTGAGTGATCCAGGCCTCCTGTTCATTGTTGCGCTCTAACTCCTGTACTCATTATGTTCTCCTCCAGTCCACAGTCCCCCCCTGGGGTCCTCACTCCTCTACCTTCTCTTTTCCCAAAGTTTGCTGGTGAATTCACCTAAGAGATTCATCTTTCCTCTGATGAATCCACTCAACACCCTCTCTTTTGCTTCCCAGTATTTACTCCCTGAACTTCACCACCTCAGCATCATTACTCACCTGCCTCCAAACTCAGCCTCTGTTGATGTAATCACCTCCTCCCTTCAATCCCAGTGACAGTAAAACTCCAGCTTCCTCTCAATCATTATCAGAAATCCTTAAACGTCAAAGTATTCACCATTTTCCATTTTATCCTGTATGGAGCTTGTGTTCTATTACTTAAAGTTGTTTTTGATTATCAACTGAAAATCTGAATAAATCTACTGTTGGACAAAATAAATCTAAAGGAAACAGATGTATCTGGTTATTTTAAATCCAAGCTTTAGATGCTCGGATGTAAACAATGATGGTTCCACTTTCAGCCCCTCTTTGCTCCCATCAGACTGAACTCTTAATAGAGCTGAAGAACTTCATTACTAAACTCAAAACCAGAGGGAAATAGCACTGAGCAAGTGCCAAAAGTGAAGAAATATCTCCCTCTTAATTAAAACCTTTTGTGCAACATTATCCATTACTTTAGGGATTTCAAAAACTGTGGGCCACAGTTAAAGCTGAATGGTTTATGGTTGTTTTCCGGGAAGAAACAGAGGCCTCTCTGCATCAGATTCATTATTAAAGCCCGACCTCATTATGGTTTCATATTTTAGGGCAGGCTGTCACATGCAATTTTCTTGGTAAACCTTCCTTGCGTTTCCGTCTGTGTAATTCATTCCAACGGCGATTTAGGAGCAAGAGAGCAATTTAGTAGGATGACCCGCAGCGCGTCTGAGGCCAGGAAAAAAATGATAAGATGAAGGTCAGTGCAGATCTGAAGCTGCGTATCACCAGGAAAAGGAAAGGAGAGCAGGGTGTCTTCTGAAGCTGCTGTGGCCTGTTGACCTGCTGGTAAAAGAAAGAGTCTGCTCATATCTCCTTTAGCACACATTTTCTGACCCATTGCTGCTGAGCCAAACAATCCACAATATAAGCTCCTTATCTGCACTGTAGGTTGGAGAAAAGAAGTAGTAATATCCTTTATTGCCCCTTTGTGGGAGAAATGTGGGTCTATAAAGAAAGCAGATTATTTTACATCTGCAAATCCCTGACAAAGCAAATACATTAAGCCAGCCTATACTCAAAGTAACTGCAGCAAAAAACGAATAAATAAAAGCTGCATTGTATCGAGTATGTGTTATATGTGTTACACTACCCCAAAAATACATGCAGGAGATGATTCTAACTCATACAAGACAGTCCACTAATGGATAATAAATAGACAGAGGAGGAGAAGAGGAGATGGACACAAGGACTGATTTACAGAAATGTTAGTGATGCTCCCGTCTACTTCAGTGAAGCCGAGCCAGAAGGCCCAGATGGGGTCATGATCAAAGCGACTTGGGGTAGATGAGTTGCAAAGCCCTTTAGATAAGGTGAAGAGCTCCCTTATCTAGGAGGAACTCTAAGTAGAGCTCAAGCTTCTTTGCATTAAAAAGAAGTTTTGCGGGTATTTTAAGGATCTGATCAGGATTAACTTTTGTACAAAGAGGAAGCCCTTGGTAAACACAAAACTCTATGTCATAATACAATACAAACTTTATCTGATCCTTTATTATTAAAGATTCTAGCTCACAACAGAAGTGACCCTAACCCTGAAACTGAAAAGCTAGCGTCTCTTAATGGTCCCGCCCATCATTCCATACCATTAAAAGTAAACCTAATCATCTTTGCATTATTCACAGATAACCCTTAATTTAATTTCTTAATATACAAAGTTTGAACTCTGGAATTATAACTGCCGCTATGGTTTGACCAGATGGATTCTAGGATGCATCTGTGTAAATGTTGAGATTATTTTTTCCTTATATAGGTAAATCCATAACAGCATCACATAAAATACTTGGTATTTGTCTTGGTATAAAAAGTGCAGAAGCCTGTTAATCAGGCACTTATTTAGCTCAGGTGTGTGGCAGTGGGGAGACACCAAAGCAATGCAGAACTTGGGGAATAGGATAGAGAACCACTGGTTGTGGGTTTAAGCACAGCTGAACGATGGCTAATTTACAGGCTTTTGTGGAACTGCAATTGTTTGAATCTGATGCAGTTCAACAAAAAGCTGCTAATCAGCCATCAGTTGAAATCAAGTGTGTTAAAAGTGCAGGGCAGGCTGTCGTGAGGAGCCAGTAAAGTAGACTGATTAGAAAACAGCTTTGAGTTGTTTATTTTTCATTCACTTGGCAATTATGCTCTCATTTGAGATTATTCATTTTTAAATACTTTGAAAATCGAACCCATTTGACATATTTCATTTTAATCCTAATGACTTATTTAAGTCATCCTTATTTGAGGTTAACATATTAAACAATTGAAATGAGAGGATTGGAGGCTTAATATAAAAATTTATATTTTGGACAAAATTCCATGTCCATTCTTTAATATCTAAAATCAACTTTGCAGCCATGAGGTCTATAAAAACTCAGATTATTGCCCTAAGTAAAATTCTCATCCCTAATTTATTCCACGTGTCTCAGCCATGGCCTTTTTCAGCCCCTTCAACGTACAAATATGGTTTAAACTACAATTCCCATAAAGCAACACGACAAAATAGATGCTGTGACGTAGAAGCCAAACAGACGGAATTGTGGGTATGGTAGTTTCAAAAATTGCTTTTACTTTTAATATGGAACACACGGGTCCTCCAACCTTATAGTATAACACCAATGAATAAAAATCAGTTTTTTCTCCTTTTATTTTGATAAAATTATTGAAATCTACGTTGTGTTCGTTGATTAATAAACTACGGTACGTTGATGGACTACAACTCCCGAATATGCTAGAAATGTCACGCATGCGTGCCGCACAGCAACAGTCGTGCGTGTGTAGAGTAGTCACGTGGAGACGGCTCTGTCCAAACAGAAGGTGAGCTGCTGCTAGCTGCTCCGCGCGGTGTTAAACTGATCCATGCTGTTTTTGTAGCCACCCGTCTATTTAACCCAGACTACTCAAGCGAAGAATGAGCGATAACGATGACATCGAAGTCGATAGTGACGTGAGTACACCGGCTTCTTCGCTTTTTAGGGTCCTCGCGCCCGGTTAGCTTGTAATTTAGCATCCAGCTAGCTCCCCCAGCTAACTGCCTAGCTGCTCATTTCTGAGTATTTTTTTATTTTTTTAATTCAGGATTCTGTTCATTTCACGGAACCCTTTTAACCTCCCTCATTGTTAATATGCTGATTTGTGATACTTTCTAAGCTACTTCAGCGAAAAAGTTGAGATTTGCCGAGCAGTTCTGGCTACAATTGTACTTTTTGTTCTGTTTCTTTGCAGGAAGAATCACCGAGATATCACTCTGTGGTGCGTAACTGTGGGGGGGATTTGGCCACTGTCGAGAAAATGTTTCACTGATCTTATATAGTTGTCTGTTATTTTGGTAATTGAATGTTAGTACACGGATATGTCTACTAATGTTAAAATAATGTGCATTATTGGTCAATGAAGCACCTATATATCCATTATCTGTGCATGATGTGTTCATGCTACGATCGTGGCTCGGTACTGTTGGTTGTAGGGTGTTTCCCCGGGCGGAATTTACGGTGACACGTCTATATTTAGACCAAAAGGTTTATCCCTACAAAGGCTGGGTTTGGTTCAACTTTGATATATATTTTTTCCGGAAAAACACAAAGCTGTCTGTTCTCCGTGGCAGCAGCATTTCTCCTCCTCCCCCCTCCTAGCGCTTGACTTCACACCACGGGGATTCCGCTTATGTTCAGGGATTTGCAACATCTCAACATGGGATGTTTTTAGGGTGAGGATGTAAAGGAGATGGTGGGTATAGGGTTGCTGGTGTGCTGAAGCCGCGCCTGTAACTCCGACACGGCTTCGTGTTAAGGAAGCAGTGCGGCGGGATGTTTTTATTTTTTCCCCCTGTATTTCTGCCAGAGATTAGAGCCATCTTCTCCCTACAGGCGGCTAAATGAATGACGTATAGCTGCACCTCGGAACGAGAAAAGATGCATGCAATGCAGAACTTGGATGCTGCTCGAAATTAGGCCCATTCTTCTTTGGGGAATAAATAAAACATGTTTTTTATATCTATAATTTGCAACAGAATAGATCTATGTTGGAGTAAATTCATATGGGAGCATTAAACCCAAATGGAAGCACATTTTCCATTTTTTAAAATCGGAATCAATCAAATTTCTTTATTGTCAACTAAAATTTACACTGCAATTGAAATTTCAGTTTCAGTACAGCCATTCATCACAATGTTTTACATACATTCGGGTGAGAGGGTGTGACGATTTAGCTGAGGCCATGCCTGCCACAGGACGAATCATTCGGCAGAACAGTGCATTCTCATGGCTTGCCAGGTTCCCACCGGTTACCTGGCTCCCCAGGTCCCAGGCGGTTACCTACAGCGCTGGCTTTCATCTCTGTAGAAAGATAGGTGCCACATTGGGGAAGAGAGGAAAAAAAAAACATATTTCACGCTTTATCCTTGACAGGATACAGTTTGAGATATCAAAAACCCCTCTGCACAAGAAAAGCACATGTAACACAAGACAGACATTTCAGCAGAGGCTCACATCGGAGGCTTAATCACATCCGGCCGCCTCCTCCAGGAGTCAGAACAGAAACATTAGATTAGAAGTGAAAGGGAGGACAACATATGGTGAAGTTACCAAAGTAACAAAATACTTAGGAGAAGCATGGCTTAATTGAAGAAGTAATATTTAATCCAAACGTCTTCAACGTTTTCCAGGTCAAGGACCCCCAAACTGATGGTGAAATGGAGCAGGGGACCCACTAATTATATATATTGCATACAATTTTGTTATATCAAACTGGTCCTATATTCATTCTATTACATATGGAGTAATCTAACGAAAGTATTTTCTTCCTGGGATTATTAAAGTATTTCTGATTCAGATTCTTCGTTGATGGGACAGGTGTTGTGAATGAAACGGTGCCCAGCTTGAAAGAGCTCCTGTGTGTCACTTAATGTCTGCATTGATGACTGAAAAACATCTTCTGCCTCCATTTATCTGTTTACTAAAGTGTGTTGAATTCATGTTGATGTGGATTTAAAGACATTTCAGTTAATGGAAAAATTGCGGGGGGGAATATTAAAAAAAGTCTAATCAACCAAAACTTTCGCTAGGGGTCAGGGACCTCCTGTTGAAGACCTCTGATTTAAAGGCATACTATGCAACATTTTTTAGTTAATGTGTTCCATAGCGTTTTGGATGATTAGATGAGTCATTTCAGGTCGAAGAAAGGTTTTCTCGGTCGCCCTGGTGGTCTGTAGGGGAAATACCGTACTTGTAATTGCAGGAACCCTTGGCCCCCACCCACAGGCTCTCTTTACGGCGAGAACTACTACACGCCCCCAGTGAAAGGCATGCTCGTTGCTAGTGCAGTGGCGATATTTGTGCAGTTATCATGGCGGAACCAGCGAGAAAACAGCGAAAGCCCATGTCGGAGCAGGCAAGAAAGAGGAAAAGGGCTCTCTACCGCAGTAGACATGGTGATTCGTTGCTTTTGCCTGTCTGCTAAGCTCAAAACAACCGCGCCTGGCTTGACGGAGAAACCAGGAGAACAGCTGAGCATATTTACGACAGTGCACTTTTACTTTCGCCCTCTGGGGGGAGCCTCGCTGGAAAATCAACACCGGTTGCATAGTATACCTTTAAGCAAAAAAAAATAAATTTGCACCATATTATCACAGAATTGCACCAAGTTCAGAATAAAAACAAACTGCCCAATACCATGATATGGTCGAGAGCAACTAAAGCTTTCTAGTCTTAAAGAATTAGACAAAAAAGTAAAATGTATCTACAAATGAATTTCATTGCTGAAATAAGGGTTTAAAGTTGTTTATTTATAAGGTTTTCTTCAAAAGAAACATAAAAGCTGCTTTGAGTGAATTTGATGAATGGTTGCTACCACAACAAAGATTTGTTTAAATACATGGAAAACCATGATCACCTTGCATTCCTGCTGACATCCATGGTAAAACCTGTTGGTCACACCATCATACTTGGTTGGATACTTTTTTTTGTTTATTTTTGTTGCTTAATCATAAATGAAAAGAACCCAGAGGCTCCTGAGGACCTGAGATTCATTCAGGGGCTCACCTTCCAGTAGGACCTCAACCCTAAATATTGAGCCTGAGCTACAGTGCAATGGTTCAGCTCAAAGTGGGTTCTTGTTAGAATGGCCCACAGCAAAATTATTGGAGGGCTTTTGCAAACCCAACACTTTATATGATCCTTCTGAGTAAGAGTTATTTTGCAAAGAAGGTCAAAAATGTAGATTTGTGCATAGCCAATATTAAAGAATATCAAAGGCCTGTCTCACAGTATTTTGGTGAAAACCATACCGTGAAAGGAAAAAATATCTGTATGAATCAGACTTGGCTTCTTTTGGCTAGTTTGGGCAGATATACGCTGATAATGGAAACACAGAGTATGCTTAGAATAAAACATGGTAGTGCCAAGGATTTTAAATGTTTCATTGTATTTTTGTGCTTCACTATTAAACTGGAAGCACGTTTGACAGCGAACATATTTTAAACTAGATAGTAAAGACTGTTAACACGAGAAATCTAATGTTTAATTAATTCAAAGTAAAAAAAAAAAAATCCAAAACTAAGGAGCCATTTCATAATGTTAGACAAGTTTTTAAGGAAAGTCAAAATGAACAATTTATCCCTTACGAGCAATAAAGAAACAGTTTGATGCCTAAGTCATGTAGGCTATAAATTAAGTTTTCTGTTAAATAACCTTTACTGGGGTTGAAGTATCAAAACAGGAACCAATGTTTTTTTCAAAAACCTCATGGACGTGTCCTGTCACGAACAAGAAGTCCTCCTGGTCTACTGCCCCTGGGCTTTATCTTTTTGTCCCATCCTACTTCCTGTTTGTGCCTTTTCATACCAATGTACTACAACAACATGTTAGTTTGTTTGTTTTGGTTACAAAACTGTGTTTTGTTTTTTTTTTACACAAAAAACAAAGTGACATGGGTACATAGTAGTGAAGAGCCTGTCAAAAAAACTAATTATGGATCAGGCGTGGGCCACAAGTTGTTTAGAGGGACAAAACTTGATTCTGTCAGTTTGTTGTTACTTTTACTCATAAATGAAAATTCAAGGAATTAATGCTAAAGCTAAAATGATGTACCGCTGTCAAACTTAGTTGGATTCATATCCATGACACAATTGTCATTTTGAGTTTGACCCTGAGACTTAAGCAAACAGAGAAACACCTGCTAAATGCTGTCGTTTTCAAGAGCTTATTATGCAATTCAAACAAACCTCTTTGTTGTTCTGCTCTTTACAGACCAACACGACCATAGAGCACTGATATTAGCTGGTTGATTAAGCAGACTAGCTGCTCTGGTAATAAAGCTGCAGCTAGGTGTTAAACAGACTCATAGCTTGCCAACTGTAATCTGAAAACGGATTACAGTTTGTAGGAGTGATAAAGAGCCAAAGTGAGGTTCTAATTCATGACATTCTCTGTTTATGCAAAGGATTAATAATGGATATATATGTATAGCTTACTGTGCTAAAGAACTATTCTACTATAGTGTATAGAAAGGCGGATAAAGTAGCCTTTTATTTAGATATTATACTTTTAACAATTTAAAGTTGCAGATAAGACAAGATATTTGCAACATGTCACATTTAGTTTCTTTCTTTTTAGCTGTTTCACATGTTAAATGAGGGTTGGTATCATATGCAAATGGTAAAGATGGAAAGCTTTGCGTGTGATGTTTCATGGTTTAGTTTGTAATGCATGATGTGAGCAGCTCAGTGTGAAGTCGTCTGAAGTAGCTAGAAAAGGTTAATTTGATGAGTTGATAGTTGCTGCCTCATAATGACAGTTCTTTTTCTTTTTTTTTTAGGGTAAAGGCTTTAAATGTCTTCTGCATCTAAACTAACATGGTTTATGTTTGAAAGCGGACTTAGTGGGCATCCACAGTGAGCTGGGTTTAATAAACTAAGTGATAAAAGATAATATTTATATGTTTAGAACATTCTTCTGGCCAGACAAAACTTTATCAGTGTGTATATATTGCAAAATTTTTTTCACCAATGTTTATACAATATGTCCAACATTACATTTTCTCAATTACTGACTCTCCAGGTTTTGTGTTTTTTATTTTTTTTAAATGTTATACTTAAGAAGTTTTTTTTTTAAATTGGCAAAGTAATTGTCAGAAGTTCACACTAGTGTTGTCTGGATAGTGACTTTAAAAACTCAAATTCGATATCCAGGAAAATATTCAACACTTTTATACACGCAGATAAAAAGAAAAAAAACACAAATAATTTAATGAGTTAAAAAATATTTTTACTAACAAGAAAAACTCTCCTTGAAAGAGTCTTTCAAAGTGGAATCACAGATGCCAGATGAATAAGCGATGAAATAGAGCATCACAAAATTTAACAATTTTTAAAGTTGTCTGATCAATTTTTTTTTTTTGTTTTTTGGAAATAATCCAGAAATGTAAAATGAAAAATAGCAAAAGTATGCAATTGCCTGTCTTTTGTATCGTTACCAGGCCAAATAGTATTGTATATGGATACAGAGTTTGAGTATTGGTACTTTTCAGAGTATCAGAGTATTTTTGACAGTTTTAACGATTGTTAAAAGGCTTTTATTTTGTTTATATTGAAACTAAATCCTATGAAATGAAATAAAGCAAATATAGTGATATTTTCCAGCTCTAAACTGCTGTGATTTGTTGGGTAAAAGAAAAACATGTATCAGTGTGGCTGTTGGTAGTCATACTATTTAATAATTTAAATAGGATTTATTTTTGCTAAGCTCTCAACAGTTGTAGTCTGTAATCAATGAATTTGATTGTAAAAGTATACTGTAAAGTTGGACATCTTCAAATGGCTTTACTCTTTTTTTTTTTTTTTTTTTTTTTAAATCTGAAACCATCAGGCTGGTGTATGACGTCTGAACCAAACGTCCAGCTTTCTACGTGGCGTTTGATCTGAAAGCTCTGGAAGGAGCTACATTCCTAGATCTCAATCACCGCTTAGAGAGACATCAGCAGTCTGGTCTGGAATTGATGCACATTTAGAAGAACTCCGCTCCTGTTGTCCGACTCCAAATGTGCTTCATGCTAACAGAAAATTAGCAGCTCCTTTCTGTCGCTGCGGTTAAACACGTGGTGAACTAACAGTTTGTGTCATCTTGACATTTGCCGTTTCTGCTGAAACTGTCGCTGTGCGAGCTGCTGCCAGACTTGTAAAAGCACATACCTTCAGAGGTAGTCATGTGTTTGTTTATGGCGGGATGGGTGCAAGGAGTGGACTGCGTGATGCCAGAAGGCACGTGATATTTAGCGGCAACTGCGTGGAGATGCTAGGGTTGCTAAACCAAGTAGTCACAAGATGCTGGAATGTGGTTAGTGTTAGCTGAATTGATCTGGTTTTTATAGCAGTTTCAGTTTCGTTTGAGTGACATTAAAGCTGTTTACTGGATGCATCCCTCCTCCTGCAGAATTTTTAACCCTCTTATCATTGCCATTATCTACTGTAATTCTTGAAACGTTTGCTCCTGAAACTGAACCTGTTTCAGCCTGTTTTCTCACATGTGGCCACTTTGGTTGTCATTGTGATCCAGCATAATGAGTCACATGAGTCCTACCTTGCCTTTTATATCAGCTGCAGTCTGTGGCACCTCTTTTTATTGCTTTTCTGTTCTGCCTCTGGTTAAGTGTTGGGCTTAATGTTTGTGGCCGGAGAGCTTGGATTAGTTCAGACGAGTGTTTTGATTGGAGGATTTGCTGGTTTGGCCTAAAAACATGGAAGTGTCTGATCTCCAGCCAGCCTCTGGTCATGTAACAGTGGCGGCCATGTTGTGCCTTTACAGGCTAATTATAATGCAAATCTGTGGCCACATTCAGACTGCTGTAAATGGATATAAAAGAAGTGAGGATTTTAACATGAAGTATTATGAATTTATTTGTGAGTTTGGAAAACTCAGGAACCATAAAAATTTCAGGTTTCAGGAACCATAAAAATGGAAGCTCTACAACAATCCTTTTATATTTTCACATCTTTATTATGTGTAGTTGGTATAATCTTTGGTATTTGTTGCCCGTCTCGTGACAGATCTGAGTGACAGCTGTTACTTTGACCTGTGTTTGGACGTGCAGTGTGGGTTTTCAGGGGATGAGGGACAGATGTGTGATTGTGAGCAGGGGTCAGAGTGATGAGTGTCAGGATGATGGGCAGGTCTGTTCATTTGAAAAGAAAAAGAAAGCTTACATGTCAAAGGGAAGTCACAAAGTAAAGGCTTGCGCTATTTGAAGCATGCTTAAAAATGCTTATTGAGAGTAAAAGTATAATACTAGAGCAATGGGCTCCCTGTGAATGAAATAATGAAATAAAGAATTTATTTATGCACCTGAAACCTGCCCTTTTATGGACTTGGTAAAGCCGAAGTGGTCCAATAGGGGGAAAAAAAATGAGTTTGGCTTAGACTTTTTTTTCTTCACTTGATATGTTGCTCTGGTCATTTTTGTTGTCCTTGCAGAGTTATGAGAAGCTATCTTTAGGTCAGATGTGATGGATAGAAACTAAAGGTTGAAATTCAAGGCATAATTTAAATAAGGTATAGAAAGGAATTAGATGGATATAATACTAAATAAACTTTTATTTAAAAGCAAATACCTTTTAAGTTTAATTCTTTTGTGAAACATTTTCAATGTGACACTAATATACATTTAAGATGAGAACTTTATTTAATCCTATTCAACATTTTTGTTTGTGAATGCAATCATTTACGATCTGTACCTCTGCTGATGGAGTCAAAATCTAAAATCCACATTTCTGGTCTAAATATAACATCATGTTTGTGCCACCAAGTGTTAAGAGCCACAACAAAAAAAAACCCCACAACCAATAAAGCTTGTCCTTCATTACCGTTACCCATTCTCCCCCCCACCCCATATTCTTCTCATCAGTAATGGATAACTTTTGTATATTTGCCCCCACCATGACTTCTGCTGCTGATGCATCCCAGTAAAGTTGTTTTGCTGAGTTAAGCTGATGCCTAAACTAAACTGCTCTGCTGGCAGTCTCTGACTATTAGATGTGTTGTGGAAAATATCCACTGAAAAACTTCTGACTCATAAATTAATTGCTTTACTTTCACATTTTTTCCTCCATTAAAAAAAAAAAAAAAAAGAAACTTCTGTTTTTTATTTAGAAATTTTACGTGGCAAGCAAAAATTTATGCCGATTTCTATTTTCAGTACTCAGTAAATAAAATCCTGAATCCCGCCAGTTATCACCGCTATGGCTACAGAACAAATCATGGATAACGTTCTGAATGGTTAAGTAATAAACCCATGTCTTCCCTTCTACTTTTCAAACCATTTTGTGAAAAATAAAAGTATGTGGCATAGCTACAAAATAAAAACCCTGCTAAACTGGCACAGCTCATATAATCTCTTAAACCTTAGAAACACAGTAGAAGAACCATTATGTTTAGGGGATGCATTTCATTAGAAAGCCTGCTGATGCCTTCTAATACTTTCAGCAGGAAAAACATTAAATATAGAGGCGGAGCGCAACGTGAATGGTCAAATCAAGCCTGTTTATGTGTTTGAATGTCTAGTCAAAGTCTGAACATAGATCCAACTATAGATGTAAACCAAGTTATGATTATTAATGTTCAAATGCTTTCTGAACTTAAGTTACTTCGCAAATAAGACGATTATTTGCAGCTAAAGGTTGCATTACAATCTACTGACTCTGAAGCTAATTGGATTCCAATTTTTTTAATTCAGATTTCACTTGTAAAGAAAATTAAAAAGCATAATTTTTTTTTGGCTCCACATCACAAATATGACGTGGATATGGTGTGGTTTCGATCATTCTTATCCACATATTGCAATGCCGTCTGCGGTTGTCATGCTTATGCAAGCCTCTGCACCACAGCCAGTAGTAAATAATGCGTCCATCTCTGTCACTGCACACTTCATTGTTCGGGCAGGAAAAAAAAATTGCTTTAAGTTGGCTTCTCCATCCCTTCTCCCCTAATACTAGTCTTTAATATTCCTAGATTATAACAATTATGTTTTTCTTTGTGGCTTTTATTGACTTTGTTTCTTAAATGTTCTGCAACTTTGGTAGGATGAGTTTAAATGACTTATTTAGGTAATATTTTGTAAAATGGCAGCTTTGTAATAAAAATCATTTCAAATTAACAGGATGTCTGAATTTTGACTTCTATGTTAGGTTTAATGATACTGAGGTCCTGTGTTGTTTTAAATGAAGGATAAAGCTCTCTGATGGTGAATGGAGTGAATCTAAAGCCATGTAGCAGCTGTGCTCTCACTGCATTGTGAGACTCTGCAGCAGAGCAGCTTGTGTAGGTGTGAGCGGGGCTGAACGGCCGGGCACCCGCTGTCCTCCTACCCACGCTGCTCTGCTGCCAGGCTGAAGGCCCTGTGACTTCTCATTGCAGGCAGACAAACGGGCACACCATAATGCACTGGAGCGAAAACGTAGGGACCACATCAAAGACAGCTTTCACAGCCTACGGGACTCAGTACCCTCCCTGCAGGGAGAAAAGGTTGGTAAAGCTCAGCACTCAGCACGCAAGAAACACTCAGACACTCATGTCACAAAACAGTTTCATCTCCTTTTTTTTTTTTTTTTAACATTTATATGTTCAAAGATTTTGTTTTTATGTGCATCTGGGAAATTCTTTCAATGACTGGGAAAAGAGCAGATGGTGGGAGAGTGTAGATTGGCAGCTTCGAGGCAATGAGGCAGCCTGAATACTTGGACGAGTGTCAGGAAGTTATTATGAGAACATTTTGCTGCTCTCTTCCTGTTTTCACATCAGTAGTATGGAGAAGACTTGGACAGGATTCAGTTATGAGCACAACATTTGTCATCACATCACAAAAAGCTCATTCAGGGATCGGAGGGATAGTTTGCTAAAGAAATACATTTAACATGTTGTGCCAATTTGGCTGTTTTGTTCCCATCATAGAACAGATGAGGTCTTTTTTTTTTTTTTATTAGTTTTTCCAAATTAGGATTCAGTCGAGGCCATACGCCCTGAAAAAATGTGTGTAAAAGAAGAGCTAGAATGTGTTTTTACCTTATTTGGGACTTCACTATCCATGAGATGATAATTTAGTGAAGTTCACGATTGAAAGTTTTCACTCCCTCCACTGCATCCAGATCTTTCCTTCATTAAATCGTGATTCTTTCTGCACCATGTTTTATCAGGAAATGGAAATGATTTCCCTGGTTTACATAACTACACGTTTTTGAAGGAAATCTTAAAACCCTTCTTAGAACAAAGCTCTACAAACATGTTTATCAGAAACGTTCTTTCCCAGAAGTCACATAGTTTTTTTTTTTTTGTTTAAGCATCCAACCAAATAAATATTTACTCGTTACCACTGTTTGGTCGAGCTACTCCCATTGCATGCGATCCACAAAAATATACACGTTTAGAAACTGCAACCAACACCTGCAGATAACTAGTTATGAATTTGGAAGCTGTGACAAATGTCTGGGAGCGCTGCTCTAAATGATTCAAGTTTTAAAAACAAATGACAGCTGAGCTGGAAAAAAAACGATCATGCTGGATCCAGTGAAATTGAATGGCTGTAGTAGAAAGGTTTAATAATCATTGTCACGCACATTTCTTATTTGTGGGGCTGCAAGAATATTTTGTAAACCGATTCATCTGTTAATTATTTTTCGATTAAAACATCTAAAATGCAAAATGTTTATATATTTTACAATTTTGATATAATTACTGCCCTAATTGGGTCGCTCTGTCAGTTGAAGACCTGTTTTATAGTCTCTACACTCCAGTTAACAATTAATCGATTACTAAATTTGGTTGACGAGTATTTCAATGATCGATTAATCACGATTAATCCAATTAATTGCTTTAGCCCTACTTATTTGTATTATTTTTTTTTTTTATCCCTTTCACTAGTTTTGTATTTGACAAGTCTTTACAGCGTGACTGCCATTAGGCCACTAGTGTGAATATTTCCATAATTGGATGCACATAGTTGAGTTCAGGATCAGGATGAACATCTCTCCTGGTTATGTCCTCAGTCGCCTGTTAAGGTGTTTCTATACACTACCCTTGAAAAACCGATCAATGCCGAGACCGGTCCGAGCTCGGATCAGTTAACCAGGCCGAGCTTGGTTCTGACGACCGTTTACACATCACGCTATCTCGGTTCCTCGCATCCTAGTGACGATCTGCGGTATTACTGCCAGTATTGAAGGAGGAAATCAAGCAGTTGGTGGTGGTAATGCCAGCCGCCATAAAACACAAGAAGAAGACGACGGAGAGAATCAAGCAAATCAAAATGGCGGCGCCCGTCACATTTAGAAAGTTATGCTTGATTATTATTGCTGTACTTCAGTGTTATTATTTAAAATGCCATTATTTAAAATGTTGCGTGGAGAAGATTTCGATGTTTATAGTTGAAGAAGAAGTTGTTGTTCTTCTTCTGTTTTTGGAGGGCCATTACCGCCAACTACTGGAATGTAGTGTGAATCGCGATGTGCAGCCAGACGGAGATAAAGCGTTCTGCTCAAGCTCTCTTGTTATCAGAGAACCGAGCCAGGGGAAACCCGAGTCGAGCCCACCTCTGGAACTGGTCTGCAGTTATCTCGGTTCGGTTGTGTCTATCTCGGTTCAGTTCAGTTTGCTTTCCATTTACACACAATAAGTTATCTCAGTTACTGAGCTCGGACCGGTCTTGGCACGGTTTTTCAAGGGTAGTGTAAATGGGGTATATGTGGACGCAGAGAAACACCTGAAACATGGAGGACAGACATGATGGCCTTCCACTGTTTGAACCTTTGCTGGGTTCTACTTGGTTAATGATGATCTCATGTGGAATGAGTATGCCATGGATACTGTTGGCTGGCCTCCACTAGAACGCATCTTTAGGTCTATCCAGCATGATCCTTTTGTCCAGTTAAGGTCAGATGTTTTCAAAGAGTTCCTTTATAGCATTGTGCATAATCCAGAAAACCTTGTAAGCTTAAATATTCTAAAATATTTGGCTTATCTCTGATTATAAATGTACATCCAGTGTTTAGTTTCTCTGGGTACAGTTATTAGAAACATGCAGTCCAACAAGCCCCTCTTAATTGTGTTTATATCTCCTAAATTACTCTAGTTTCCTGCTTACAAAACCCAACCACTAAATTCTTATCAAGACCCTTTTCTGTGCTGATAGCACCAGTATTTTATCCACCTTTACTGGCTGCTAGTCAGATGCAGCTTTAGTACCTAAACCATCTTTCTGGGTCGTTAAATGATGCATAACTTGACTCCTCCTCCTTCCTTTAATGACCTTGTGACTCTATACCCTCCGTCTAGAGCTGGAGGTCTTCAGATCAAGATCTTCTTAATGACCGAAAACATGTGAGAATTGTTTTTTCTCTGTGCTTTAAGTCCAAACGTGACAGAAAAGGCTTTTACTGTGGCATGCTTTCCAAGCAGCTGTTTGACTTTGTTAGCTCCTCATGGTTGTCAGTTCCACTCTTAGCTGCAGTCCTCGCAGTCAATTATTATTTTAATTCCTTCACTATCTTCTCCAATAGACATTTGTTAAGGATAACCTTGTGTTAAATCAGCTTTTCTACAGTTGGACTATTAAAACCTCTGACTGTAGGTTAGTATGGGATAGTCTTTTTTTTTTTTTACTTCTCGCTCCCTAATTGAACAACCTGCTTTCTTCTCCTTACAGTTTTAATGAGTGGCATCCATACTTATTTAATTAAATCAATGGGGGATAAATGTATTTTTTTTTTTTCCTGTTTTAGCTACAACTGTGAGTATTGTCTTTTAACATTTAAGTCTTAGAATATATATCATAAATGTATAGAACTTGCTAAATGAAAATGAATAATTTTGGTTAAATTGTTGATGTAGAAAATTACACTAATGTATCAGGATTTATTTTCTTTATTTAAAGTGTTTAACTTGGATTCATAAAGTTAATGGCTGCAAATTAAAGGTTTAAATGAGGGGAATGATTCTGATTGAGGTGTTTTTTGTTCTTCTGACTATTTAAGGAGCATGCTCAGTACCAGAGTTATGCACCACTCTGTCAGACCAGGATGTGAACAGACTTTAGCAGCTAACGGGGGAAGGGCTTAGAAACCCACCAATGTACCAGATTCCCTGCAGTTGAAGTGTGAAAAATGTGCTGAATTTTCTGTGATGTCTGTGTCATTGCTTCACTTTTTGCATGTGTCACTAACAGCAGTCTACCAAACAGGCGTCTCGAGCTCAAATCCTAGACAAAGCCACAGAGTACATCCAGTACATGAGGCGAAAAAACCACACGCACCAGCAGGACATCGACGACCTGAAGAGGCAGAACGCTCTGCTGGAGCAGCAAGGTAACCACTGCTGGAAGTCTGGCTCTCTGTGGGTCTGAGCAGATGCAGGATTACATCGCATTTTACTGCTGAGTTTGCATGAAGCTTGCTGGTTGCCTAGTGTTCCTGCAATGTAGAGAAAATACGATGGACTTGAATTACAGGAAGGAACTTGCAGTGGAAAGCAATGTTCATCAACTTAAACCTTTATTTTTTTTAAAATTTGGCAAAATAAAAAGTAAAGAAGTGGTAAAACAAAAAAAAACAAAACAAAAAAAAAAAATTTTTTTGTTCAAATATTCAGCATTTTATGTGCATGTGTATTTATCCCCCTTTTGCTGATTTAGTTTTTGCAGCAGCAAGTCTTTCTGGCTAATTTTCAACCAGGTTTGCATATCTAGAAATTAGCATTGTTGGCTGTTCATGTTACAGAATTGAAGCTCCGCCTCTCTGGGCAGCAGTCTTTACATAACGACCAGGATTGTCAAACAGATTTAGGTCTGGACGTTGACTAGGCCATTCCAACTCCTGAATATGCTTTTATTTCAACTAAGGAATGTCATACCCACAATCCTAGAAGTGGCCTTTAACTGTTAGGCAGTCCTACATGCCTGAATCAAATGTTCCTATCATTGGCTCATTATGCAAACACGCTGTAGGGAGTTTGCCTTATGAAGGAATAAATTGATTCTAACTCTAAAGCCCTCTGGAGAGTGGATCTAAACAAGTGGTGTCCAAACTTTTTAAAAAAGGGAGCCAAAAATGTCCTAAAGCCTTAAAGCGTTAGAATAGGATTTTTTTGTTAAAATGTAAAAATGGTTTTCTAGATTATGATCTGCATGCAACATTAAAATGAAACAAGCAGAATGGTTTATGTTGGGATGGTATACATTAGAAATTGATCCAAAGCAAAGTCTCATGCTTTTGCATTTTTTTTTTTTAAAGCAAAAAACAAACATGCATCTTGGCTTTTTTGTTTGTTTATGGTAAGCATCACGAACATTAAATGGATCTAATTAACTCTTGGTCTATGTTGCCAAGATTAGAATGTTGTTGCCCCAAGATTGCTCTTTGGTTATGGATGGTTCTGGTCCTTTTTAATCTAAATTAAGGGAAAAGGGCCTAAATCTCCTATGATCTATGATTTAATTTGTCTATCTCTTTTTGAAAGAGTTAGACACAAAAATCATCTCGAGTTGAACTAAACTTTAAACACATAATCTAACCGGTTCCATTGATGCTCAGCCTGTGAAAACAGAGCTTTGCCATTTTTGTTTCCTTTAATCAACATGTTGGCTTTTGGCTAACCTTAAATCAGACTTCCCATGGCTTCCTTTTTCACACAAAGTCCAGATTTGTGTCGTGCACAACTAATAGCCACATCCTAAGACGTCCCACCCGAGCTGTTGATCTCTACAGCTCCTCCTGAGGTCCAGAGAGCCTCTTGGCTCCTGCAGTAATAAATGTCCCTGATCTGACTTCAGCTTAGGTGGACATTCATGTCCTGCTAGGTTTCCTATTTGTTATAATGGGTTGAATGTTAATAACTAATAACTTTAGTCGCCCTGGATTTTATTTAGGGTATCAGAGTAAAGGGGGATTTATACACTTCCACATATTTCTGATTTTGATTGGTTTAAAAATGTTTTTCAATAAATCATGTTCTATTTTTAGATCATCATCTACTGTTCTTGGCTCTACCAGATGACCTCAGCCACTCATGTTTTTGTTTTGTCTTCCTTCCTTCAGTCCGTGCTCTGGAGAAGGTAAAAGGCTCCACGCAGCTCCAGACCAGCTACTCCTCACCTGACAGCAGCCTTTACACAAACCCAAAAGGCAGCGCCGTGTCGGCATTCGACGGCGGCTCCGACTCCAGCTCCGAGTCGGAGGTGGAGGAGCCGCCCACCAGGAAGAAGCTGCGAGTAGAAGCCAGCTAGAGTCAATAAGCTGAAAACTGGCTAAGGACGGGGTGGCGGGGCACAGGGGACGGGTGAGAGGAATTAAAGCCTTCGCAGCTCTCCGATAAGCCCCTCTCCCTCTTTGTGCATCAACTCACCCCCCTCAGCTCCCCTCGTCGCTCTCTCTCCTCCATCTCTTGTCGGGCTGGTGCTTGAGAATCTCCCACCGCCATCGTTTGTCCTTCCAGCAGTGAAGGAGCAAGAGGACGACTACTTCAGACCATCTAGAGAGCTTCAGGTTTCCCAAACTTTACCCATCCATGTTTCTTAGTTTTTTCTCCTATCATGGGTTCCCCATCCCGACCTTTTTCTCAGCAACAACAATCCAAAACTCAAAAAAAAAGGCAGCTTGGCAACTCAAGGACTTGATGCTTTTTGTACCTGACAGAAAGCCCCTCCCCTTCTCTTCAAAATGGGGCAAGAGGGGGAGCCAGGTGTACTCCTCCAAGCACTGCTTTATTGTATTTGTTTTATTTTTATGCTTGATTATTGAAGAATGAAATTAATGTTTAAGTTACTACACACACCTAGAACTGTCCAAAAAAGCAAAAAAATCCTCCCTTTTGAAAATGTAAAAAGATTTATAACTTTTTTTTTTCACTCAAGAATGTGAAGATGCTTTGAGCAAATATTAGCGATCTCCCACCTCAGGCCCACTGAATTGCAGACGTTTTCTGCCTGTCACCTTTAACACAAATGACATATATCTATAAAAAAAAAAGTCCTTTTGTTGAAATTGATGTTTTAAAGGAGAATATTCCTGAACTTTGTATCGTATTTTGTCCTTTTAGCTTGAAGTAGTGAATGACTTTAGGTGGCTGGATACGTTAGGCATCTCATTTATATATTATTCAAAGCATTGATTGGATGTTTTCAAAACATTTATGCATTTTCTGTAACGACACAAGTCATGGAGAAAAGCCCAATTTGTCGCACGTAGTCTTGTTAAAGGGTATAAACTAGGTTATTGAATGTCCAAGGTAGCGTCTGAGGCCAGGCGGCTCCCTGTCGACGTGTTGTGCTTCACACAGTAAAAACTTAATGTTGCTTATCCCCCCCCCCTCTCTCCGAGGAAAAATAAATCTCTAGGAGACGTGTGTATGTATATTGTTTCCATTTTATTTCCACTTAGGAGGATGTAATTAGTGTGGTAGGTCTTTGTCTGATTCCATTCCATGGAAATTACAAGTATGTTGTACATACTGCCAACAATTGTCTTGCAAGTTGAGGCCTACCTTTACTATGAAACTATAAAATAAACTATTTTATCCTTTACAAGATTCTGTTTTTGGTTGGAAATGAATGTAATGTTTGCTGATGGTTGATAGGTCCTTGTTTATTATGGTTCAGACTATTATTGGGGGATTATGGTCCTAAAATTGTAATTTTTTTTGGTATATTTGGATTAAAAACTCAACCTTCAAGAGTCGATTTTAGGCAGCTATAGCTGTGACTGCATGTCAGAGCTAATAAAGTCTCACAATCAAACTACCTTTAAAAAAATAGACAAATTTAAAATGGGACACCACTTGCATAAAACATGATTTATATCCCTAAACATCCTGCAGTAACCATTTAATCATATTATTCAAATTTGCCAATACTGCAATGGAAAAAGAGTAAAATTCAGTTACCCAGTGAGTTTTTTTAATCACTAATATATCACAATCAAAGATGGGATCATTGCACACCCACACTGAATCTCATTATTTCACATATTTGTCTGAACATATGGATTCTGGTAATGTATGAAAAATTTAATTTCTAAACTTCCTGTTCTGAAAGTTACATCCATCCTATTACTCTCCACATCTCTTCAGGATCCCTGAGCAATTTAGATTTCCTTTGCAACATTCAGTTGAACCCATGACACCTGAATTTAGAGTTTGCCTTTAAGTAGTTGGAAAATTTACTTTTTACGCTTTCCATTTATTTTAGAATTGTATAGAAATTATATATTTCAAATTTAAAAACATCAGTTGTCATGGAAACAAGAGCCTGCCAAAGGTTCCTAGGTCCACACTAAATGTATAATAACCACAGATCTGTATTCACTGAATTGCTGATCGGGCGAAAAAACTGAAGTCACCTGCCGCCATCTTGGTACTCCCCACTCTCGTGGGATTGTGCTATAAAATGCCTTTAATGTCATGCAATTAAATGTATATTACATGTACATCAGTTTATCACATTTGGCACATCAGTGTGCAAATGTAATATCCAAGTACAGTATTATGCCTCTTTAACACACTTTTATTGTGATGGATTTGTATAATTACATGATTTATAGACTTCATACTGAATATGCACTATGTGCCTATTTTTTTGTCAAATTGCAATCTAGTGATATGAAACAGCAAATGTGTATCAAAGTAATGATTTTATCTTTATTTTAAAAGTATTAAACCCCCCTGAAAATGAGAATTTTTTGATGTAATGTTTACGTTACGGGCAGTCTAACTAGGGTATGCCAATATGGCGGCTGGTGACTTAACAGCAACATGTTCTACCAACGGCCTATCAGCAATCCAGTGAATAGCGATCAGTCATAACTGGCAGTGAGGGAATGCACACGCCATCTTGGTTGTGTACGTGATACAAAAGGTTTGTAACATATTTGCAACAATGGGCATCAAGGGGTTAAATCCCCGACCTCAGATGTCTGGTATAAGAACTCAAACATGATGGCACCATTATGAGAACTGCTGTATAAACTTTTATTAAGTCAGGTGATACTGAAATCATTTAAAGTCACAATTTCCTTTCATCGGATAAAAAAAGAAAAGAAAACACTGTCAGAAACGTGAGTAGGAATCCCTCAGAAGTTCTCCAGATGGTCGTCCAGTCTGCTCCCTTTTTTCATCCGTACCGATCCCTGCTTGGGTCTAGTCCTGTGGTCAGAGTGAGCGGGTTGAAGCCGACGATCCACCTATGACTGACTCCCTGCAGCATCAGAGGCTGGTTCTGAAGGGTTGGAGTCAGCAGACGGTCCCGCCTGCCTGCTGGCGTGCGGGACGGGCAACTGGCGGAAGTGCTGCACAGCCTGAGCCACCTTGTCAGGACAGATGTTGTATACTGGGTGAGTGGGAGCCTATAAAGGAAAATGGAAGTCAAACAAATAAATATCTTGATCCCATTCCCACATCTGGATTACATTTCTTGGCATATTTGTAACATTTAGGGCGTTTTCTTGTTTTTGTACCAACCATCCATCTATCGTATCCTTAGAGACGCCTGTTCTGTTAAATTAATTACTGGAAACAGGAGAGCAAAAATATTTTCTTAAACTCATGCATCTAAAATGTGCAAACATTGGAGCCTAATGCATCAGATACTTTGCACAAGTTTTTATTGTGCTTTATATTTAAAAATCACCCAACCAGAGGTTTATTCACCCCCTTAAAATTAACAACTTAGTTGAAGCAGATTATTTGAATTTCACTTTAACATCTGAAAAAGGAATTTTCCTGATATCTGCATCCTTGAACCAGCTGGTTTGATGATCAAATTTAGATTTTTACCATTTATGTTCATTTGAGGCATATTTTCCTGCTTCAATTATGTTTCTATAATAAGGTCTCCATCTGTCTACATGTTCAGATTAACTAATTGGTTTTACAAATTAAAAAGAAACAAAAAATAGTCTTACGATTTTCGATGCAACTAAATCTTATTCTTTAAGGTGACACTAAAGGTCTGAGATCTGCAGTGGCTCTTGGCTCTTCAATGGCTTCTAATGATGGCAAAAAATTATATAAAATAACTAATGTACTACAATAACATCAGCCTTTAAAGCTTTGGTGGTTTTATAAAGAATATTTCAATAGAATTTTCACAACAGATTAACATTAAAAGAACTAGAAATGTTTTTAGAGCCCTTTTTTAATTAACATGAAACTGATGCATTTTCATAATTTTTGTACATCAAATGATACTCTATAGAAGAAGATCTATGCTTCATCTTTATGAATTGTTTCATGTTTTTTCTTAGATTTTAGTGGACTTCCTAAGGCAGAAATTTAACAAAATAAGTTGTTATATCAAAAAGTCATGTGATATTTTGCGGCTCTAAATGACTTTTACTTAGCCGAAATCTTGGCAAAATGTCTCTTTGGATTGGAAAGGATGCAGACGCTTGATTTAGAAGATATGAATCGTTTATTAGTAGGTTTAGACAAAGCAGCCATTAACTCCACGTACTTAAAAAGATCCAAATCAGGAGATTTCTTATTAAACCAGAACACTTCTTCTTTTGCCAGAATCCAAGTTTTCTTTTAAATCTACCTTAAGTGTTGGATTAAATCAACCTTTTTGTCCCTGACTGGCTGCTGCACTCACCAGCCGGTTCTCCTCCTTGCCGAGGATCACCTCGTTGTAATGCTCCAAGTTTCCAAAGTGTTGTGCTATGGAGAGGCCGCTAAGACAGTAACACGTGTGGTAAAAGTCTCTGGACCTGGAAACATGAGGAAATCAAGGAGGACTGTGACGTACGGAATCACATGAATCCAATCTGACTGTGCCCTGTGTGTGTGTGTGTGGGACAGATGGTGAGGTACTGACTTGCCAGGCTTATCCAGAAGGCCCCCTGTTGGATTCTGACAGCACAGGAGGATGTACTCCTGAAGGGCCTGCTGGTCAAACATCCAGCACTGCCGACTGAGCTCCGACTCTCCTGCAAACAAACAGAAATCACACAAATGTTTGAGATTAACTAAAGTTAAACCACCCAAAAAACAAACAAACAAAAAAACTCCATACTTTTGAGCAAACAGGTATGCAGTGTTTTAATCTCAGTACGTGTCTCGTGTTTGCTTTTCTTCCGACAGATTCTACTTCCTCTGCTGTGCTCGGCTCCATCACTCTGCTCCGACCTCATTCACTATATTTACAATAACTGCATTTAAACATATATGTTTTATACCTTTAAACCAAAGAAACTGATACTTAGCTTGTAGGCTGATGAAGATTCTCAGTCATCCAGGTCATGGTCATTCCGTAAAAGTTTAAAGAAACAACCCCCTGGACTTGGTTTCTGAGGTTTGAAGACGTTTTGCTTCCCCTCCAGGAAGCTTTCTCAATTCAAATGTCTTGCATGTTTCCAAGCAATGCAAGGCCTTGTCTCTCTAAAGACTCAAACTCACTGCGGATCCAGACATTTGAATTGAGAAAAGCTTCCCGGAGGGGAAGTGAAACGTCTTCAAACCTCGGAAACTAAGTCCAGCGGATTGTTTTTTAAACTTTTACGGAATGATACTTAAAAACTCTCTCACTTAAAGTTTTTTTTTTTTTTTTTCACATTTCTTAATAGGTAGTGTTGGCCACAGCCTCCACTCTGGGTCCCTGAGCAAGACCCTTAATCCCACACTGCTCCTCTGGTGCCGCTCAATGGCAGCCCACTGCTCCCCAAAGAGATGGGTTAAATGCAGAGAGTGAATTACATTAGAGGGCTTTACATTTTAAAACTAAAATAATTAATATATAACCAAAAAAAGCAACATCTTACTGAATTTGATTAGATAATTAAGTGCTGATGTTACTACATTATCCTTAGCTTTGTAATCTCTACCACTGTTATGTGAAGCATTTTGTTTTAATTAGTCTGCATCTGCTCAGAGTGTTCTGATTGAATGAAAAATACTCGTCTTTAATTAAGTCAAGGCGCGATTCATTTACATTCAGGTAATCAAGTTGGAGGTGCAGAAGTGGAGCTAATATGTAGCACAGCTAACTTAATAAACCATATTATGGACTATTTGGTTTTATTTTTTCCAACAGCTGCTCTTTTCCACTGACCCTGCTAGTTTTATGTTAAATGGATCATACTTGAATCAAATTACATTTTTCCAGACTGTTTATAAGAATATAAAAGCTCCTAAACTCATAATAAACATGAGGATTCAAAGCAACAATTTCCCTTTTTCAGAAGCAATGAAAACCAGTTCATTATAAATCAGCACAAATGATCTAAAAGTGACTCATTTAGTCTGAGAACTGTTAGACTCATCAGTTAATCAGTTGCTTGTAAACGGATATAAAAATGTACCGTCGTTGAATAAGGCTCTGTGGAGGAGAGGCAAGAGTCCAGCTTGCCAAAAGGAGTAGCATCCGTCGACCAGTTTGTTACAGCGACCCTGGAAGCCTCCTTCAAAGCGCATCTGCCTGCTGACCACCCAGCGCTGGGGGGAAATAACACAATTAAATGAAGAATTAAACATTGAAGTAGGTCCTAATAAAAACAATTCCTTTAAAAAACAAATGTAAGAAAATTATTTTTATTTTTAAAACAGATAAGCTAAACCTGGACTGAGACCAAATGAGAATTATAGAACTTTCTTTGATCCTATCATTTCTGCTATAAGATTTAGCTTCTATAAACACAGGAAAGGGGCTCAACTCTTGCAAGGTCCTTACATTATGTGATCAAAACATAAAAAAATAAATAAATTTGTAAATGTAAACCAAAAAAAAATCTTAATTCCAACCAAAGAGGTTATATATGATCAAATCTGCAATGGGTTTTTCCTCTTTGCCTTTAAAAAAATTAAAAGCCACCCTTCTACACCACCTTTACTACTATAAATGAAATGGGAGGTAGACTGAGTACTAAAAGTTAAAAGACAAGCAATTATTTTCATTTCAAACTAAGATTTAAAAATATTAAGAGGCAGATCCAAGCTGCTCTGAAGTTAACAACTCCTCAATGAAACCTGAACATGAGAGAAAAATCAAATGCCCATGTCCACCATTGTGGTTCATGTCAACATTGCTCAGAATCTTTGCGCCTCAGTTAGCATCTCAAAGTGCGTGACTATACAATAACAAGTAGAGAAAAAGTCACAGAATACTAAGAGCTATTGGAACGACATCCTCCTAATTAAATTTGACCTTATGTTCTGTTTCAGTATTGTTTCTCACTGCCAATCAAAAGCAAAGCTGCAACCTACAGGATACTGCAGCATCCTGCTGCACTCAAAATGTTAACTTTAGTTTCAGTGGCAGCAACCATTTCAATATGACTAAAACAACTTTATTTGCAACACTTTGTAAAATTCATTCAAACCATATCAGCACAAATGCTTTAGAGTCTGTAAAGCGGGGTGGAGGAGGAATCATGTTTTTTTTTTTTTCAGCCTGAGGAGCTTTGGAGTAAACAGTATTATGAAACGGAGCAATAAATCTAAAAACAGCAGCAAGAGAAACGGCTCAAACAGAATGATAAAAAAAAAAAAAAAAACAAGGTACTGCAGCGTTAAAGTCAAAGTTCAGATATCTGACTGTGCAGGAAACACTGCTTCAATGAACTAAAGTCCCCCAAATATGGTTGAAACCACAACCAAACATAAGTCCTTAATGTTCAGTCCTTTATTCTTATGTCTGTTTTGTCTTTGTGTTTATCTGCAGGCTTCTGTTTGTGTTTCATTCGGCTGCTTTGACAGGGGAATTTTCCCACTGAGGAACCATTAAGTTCATTTCTATTCTACTTTAAGCTACTTTATGGTATTTTAGCTAAAGGCAGGTCTAAAACATTTTTTTTAATAAATAAAACATCTTTTTCCCCATTTCGGCTTTTATATTCTGTATTCCTTAATTAAATAAAATGATTTAAGTGGGGAATCTGTTTTAAATAAGCTGAGTTTCTGTTAGATCGTTTCACAGGATTGTAAAGACCTTATTATTCATGCTAAATCCTGAAACATTTTTCTATTAGATTCTAATACATTCATTTAAATCAACAATAACCTCTGAAGTAGTTTTCTTTCTGTAAACACAAAGATTACAACTAATTCGATTATTGCAATTTTCTGACTGATGTCAAGTGAAGATGGCATGAAATGTCAGGAGATAACTTCATTAGTTTCCTCTTTATTCCAAACCATAAAGGAAAAATATAACCTTAAAAGGAAACTCAGCTATATTTAACATTTTAAAGAACAGCGAGAGGGTTTCACCAGAGTCCGTCACATGCAAATTTAACTTTTAACTGCTTGGCATTTGAATGGATGCTGAAGCAGACAGCAGAGGAATTGATGGCTGATATTTTAGCACACTGGGAGCACAGACAGCAGGTAGATGTTAAAAAAAAACGCTGCTCAGAAGCCTGTCACCTGATGGTCAGCAAACATCTTTGCTGCACAAATCATTAGAACTCCAAAGTCAGTAGAGTTCAGCAAATGTTTTCACACTTTCCTCATCTAATAAAAGTATTTTGCCTCTGGATAAATAAAATAAAGCTCTATGTATGTCTAAAGCTAAGGAAAAAAGAAGAGTGATGGCTTACCAGCAAGGCCTTTAGATCCAGCATGTGTTCTTTGCCCAGTATGACGAGGGCGGCCGTACCACAGAAAGTATAACCACCGTGTGCCTCCAGGCCTGGAACGCCACTCAGACCCCCCTCCCAGTTCTGACAGCTGCATCCACGGAAAACAAGAGGAGGAATCAGAATAAAAACGGGCAGAAAAAAAAACGTCTCCTTTGATGACGTCTTGGCTGTACCTGAGGATCCAGTTGGTCGTGTCTTCAAACAGTTTAGGAGCCATGATGTTTGTGAGCGATGCAACAGAAGCTGCACAGTAAGCACTCCTGGAAGATTAAGTTTACTTTAAGATTTTAGTTCAACTTAATCCTTAACATATTAGTTCAAAAGAAAATATATATATATATTATATGAAGTAAATCTGCAGTCAAAATAATGCTTTGTGTTGTTACTTATATTCATGTATCGGAACATAAAAGATTTTAAACCATTTTTTAATAGTTGCAATCCTTCTCTGCTTAAAACAAAACACTGGATAGTATACAAACTCAGTATAAGAAATTAAAATTTGAA